AAAAAAAAAAACCCAAAACATATGCTTCTTGGTTATATAATCACACATGACATGACTGTGAAGTAGTAGTACGTTTTTTTTTTGTTTTTTTTAATTCCTCTGGTGTGCTCTGAGAGGAGCCACAAGAGGTTGGGAAGTCATGCTCTTGAGTCCATCTTGCCATGAAGAGGATGCCATCTTGGATGAATACTAAGCAGCGCCCACACCTCCCACACGTCCTCCGGCTGTTCAATCTCTGCAAGTCACAAGCTGTGGGTGTGCGCGTGTGTGTGTGCGTGCGTGCGTGCGTGTGGTTGTGGGTGTGCGTGTGGGTGTGGGTGTGTACGGTATTTGTGCTGTTGTAAGAATCTTCATACATTGCCTTTGAACATTTTATATGTGATTTGCCTGCATGCTTTTACTAGCATGCAGAAAAGCATGCAGGCAAATCACTTACAAGTTACCCTTTGTCATGAGTTATAGTCATAATGAGGAAAAAAGACAAATTCTAGGCTCTCCCCTCTGCAGTCCGCCTTGGCTGCCTGAATGTTAAAGGCCCTGACTGGAAAGCCTTGTCAGAGATGCAAATTGTGTCTTTTCTCTAGGATACGTGTAATTATACACCCACATAAGCCTGAGCCAGAAATCACTCATACTGTTGCTGAATTACCTATATTTTAGCAGGAGATGAGTAACGAGTGATTCATTGTGCCTTTAGTAAACTCGACTTCCATTTTCGTACTGTGCTACTTTCCACTACTACTAACTTACAGGGGTGAGAGGTTTTTTCGTCTAGTTTACAAAAATGAAAAAACAAGAATTTGCTCCAAATTGTTTTGGATTGTTGTGGAAGCCTATCCCAGCCGTCTTCGGGCAGTAAGCGGGGGACACCCTGAACTGTTTTCCAGCCAATCACAGGCTTTCATCAATTCACAGAATCAAAAGCAGATACACAGTGGTCAGGTATGCCTATTTTTTGTCTCATATTAGTACAGTTCGCTGCAGAGTGTAAACTTGAAACGCATCATTCATTTCCCTCCTGCACATTTTGTTTTGCATTTTCTCACTGACACAGCAGATGACAGGTGGGTGTGGGATGGCTCATCGGGCGACGGCCCCCACGATGACACCATGTATTTATGTTATGCACTTAAAGCCAATGAGTCAACCTCTACCTCCATCCAGAGTAAAGTCTTGTATTTAAACATAATGCTTCAACAAAGCTTCATTTACTGTGCTCTGAGTGAAGCTCTCAAAGCTTCGTGTGTGTGTGTGTGTGTGTGTGTGTGTGTGTGTGTGTGTGTGTGTGTGTGCGCATTTGGAGGTTGAAAGCAGTGAATGTCAGAGCTTGTGTGTGGGAGAGAATAGATAAGCGTGGGCCTCAGGGCTGCTTATTTATTTAAAAAGATGTGAACTTCCTCCTGGTAGCCTGCAACCTCAGGTGCGGTTAGACTGGGGTGATGTTTCATATCCTGATTTTGAGTTACTGTCAGCCAGGAAAGATATGTCAGGAATAATAATAATGATAGTTATTATTATTATTGTTTTTGTTGTTGTTGTTTGTAAATGGGGGCAGCATTGAAACTGTAGGGTGATGCTTCAAGAGCCACTACAGATGAAGGTCAAAATGGCAACTAGATGTAGTGATGTCAGTCTGCTTCCTGGCGTCCACAGATATGTCCTTGAGCAAGGCACCACAGTCAGCCACCCTGATTTTTTTTTTTTTTTTTTTTTTGCATGCTTGCATGTGTGTGTAGTGTGAGATACTGAGAGGACCTTGTGTACAGTACGTGGCAGCGGACATCTCGCCAAATGCAACTTTTCTGTGCAACCCTCAACCTGAATGCGATATTTGAGTAGAAGTACAAGTACCTTCATGGAAAAGAATTGACCAGTAGATAAGACTCATTTGAAGACATGTACTCCAGTTTCATCCCACATTCCAAAAACATGCATGGCAGGTTGGAACACTCTAAATTGTCCCGACGTGTGGTTGTGAGCGTGAGTGGTTGTTGTGCCCTGCGATTGGCTGGCAAACAGTTCAGGGTGTCCCCCGCCTACTGCCTGATGACAGCTGGGATAGACTCCAGCACGCCCACGACCCTCGTGAGGATAAGCGGATTAAAAAAATTGATGGATAGATGGATGGATATTCTGGAAATTCTTTAAAAGACCCAAAACATGGGTAAGGAAAAAAGCTTTAAAAAAAAAAAAAAACCTGGATTTTAAAGTAATGGCAAAGAAAATTCCAACCATGTGTACAGTTAGACTTCACTTGCATTGGGCATGAAAATAGAGACGGAAGTTTCACTCAAGTTGCCTGCAAAGAAGTCAGGTGAGTGTATCACAACATTTTAAATACAGTCAATAAATGTTTGATTGTTTTGTGTTCTCCGTGACCCAGCTCAACCTTCTATTCAAGTTGCTTCAAGTTATGGATGTGGCTGTGCGGCAGACCTTTACACCAGGTGCAACTGAGCGTCAGACACGGCTGCTCGGTGTGGCTGTAAACAAAATACATTTGTAATCCATTTGTACAATGTATTGAGCCGTCAGAGGTGAGCGGGCCTGAGAGGCCGCAAATAGGCCCCGTCGGTGGGGAGATGGAAAGGAAACTCGGTTCGGTCCTCTCTTCCATTTCCTCCACATCATTGCAGAAAGGGAATTTCCATCAGACCAGACAGATTGCGGAAGGGGTACACAGGTGGTACATGGGGAACATCACGGTGTGGCAAAAACAAAGATTTCAGATTGGTGTCCTCTTCTTAAACAGTAAACCAGGAACCAGGACGTTATTGACGTGTTTTGTTTTGAACAGTGAGTCCTCAAGAAAGGTTTGAGTGGATATTTAAGCCATATTATTTTCCTGTTGTTTCAAAAGATGCTGGTGATGTCACTTAAAGAATACATTTCGCGATTTTTTTTTGTTGTTTTTTTTTTTTTTTTAAGTCTGAGGGAAACATAATTTTCAAAATCTATCAGCGGTTTTGCAATTTTTTGCTAAAGCTGCTGCCCCTGAGACCTGACCCCCCCGGACAAGCGGTCAAAAAATGGATGGATGGATGACTTTGATGCAGTCATCTATTTATTTTCGGTAACAAAGTAATTATGTTTGTGTGTGTGACTTACTGCTAATATTTCCAATTCCAAATATCACTTCACAGAAACACATCCAACGTTGCCGATTTCTTACTCTGCGTTGCTGGTCCGATGACACGGCAACAATTGCTGATGTTACACATTTGAGAAGGAAGCAAGAGGTTTCTCAATGATAGCGGTAAGTTCCAGGAAGGTGATAGTTTTCTGGTTTGAAATTCCAATTTAATCACGTTTATTGAACTTCAGATGGTAATTTAGTTCTCAGAGTGGAGTGGAAGTGCAGCCTGCTCCAAATCGGATTCTGTGTTGGTTTTCAGCATGCTGTAAATATAATCGCCGTGGCTACGTTACTCTTGAGTTTTCTGATTTTGGAAAAAGATGAACCGTTCCGTGGAGGATGAGGGCATGTTTGGTCATTGGAAAGACTTTTTTTTTTTAAATTTCCACTGAGTCTAGTCCCTTCATGTACTGCATCACTAATGTTGAGTTTCTGATCTAATTTAGTCCCAGGTGACAGAAGCCAAGCTTCGAATTACCAAGAATCTGAATCACATTTTTTTTTCCATTATCGAGTTTTGTTTCCCTGAAGAACATTGATACAGCCCACAGTCTGCGGAGTCCCCTGTGACTTATTAAGGCATTACAAAATGCAGAAAGCACCTGAACTTGACAGAGGCTTTAATTTCAAATCAAACATTCAGAGTACCTCCTGCCTGTTTATGATGAGCAATGAATGAAAGATCAGGTATTTACCAGGGAGCCCCCGATTGAATGCATGCGTCTGTCCAATTACTAAATTTCGCGGCAGGAAAACAACCACATTTCATTCACTTCACCTGTCCCATTTTGAGTGAATGGAATTATTTCTATGACAGTGATTCTCTACCAGGGTGCCTTGGCACCCTACTCTCGTGTGTTGTGAGAGATAATTTGGGGTACTGAAGGAAATGATCAAATTTCATTTAATTTCTCTGAAAATGATTCATTCATTATCAGTGACAAATACCTCTATACCTTTGTTCGACTATTTATGCCAGTGACATGCTTGCAAAGTGAATGAAATGCCCAGAATATGTCATGGCTTGCTGCAAGTAGGTTTTCGGAGGAAACCGGAGTACCCTGAGAAAACCCACGCAGCCACGGGAAGAACCCTACACAGGAAGGCTGGAGCCGGAATCAAACCCCGCACCTCTGCACTGCGAGGTGGACGTGCAGTAAGCGTATATGAAAATAATTTTTGGGGTGTTTTTGATCATAAATAAACCATTCCGAAAGCCACATTTAAACCATTTTAAAACCAAATTATCCAAAGCCATAAACATAGAGAAGGGAATCAGGAGAGTAGAGGTTGTACATTATTGTGCAAAAATAATACCAATAATCTATTTACAAAATCACACATGCTTAAATTGGATGATGTGATGGAATATTAAAACCGCTCAGTTTAGGTTTGAAGTAAATTAGAGTATGCTTCTTTATTGTGTCCAGAGGCTCTTCCAGCATAGATTCAGCCAAGATGAACTGAGAGGAGCGTGTATGTGTAGAAAATCAAAAAAGAAGAACAAATCTGACTTGGAAGAACTCTCTGGACATTGCCTTACATTTATTTTCCCTCTATTGTAACTTGTAAAAATCACGATTCTGTGGATGTGTAATTAAGTTCATTTGCATGACAGAAAAGTAGAGAGATTTCTTTGAACCTCATATTAAAAACACAACCTTTTTTTTTCTTCTCTCCTTGAATTATCATTCTTTTCAAACAGCACATATTTCTCTGCAGGCAGAGAGTGCTGAATGGATGCAGCCACCACATAATGGTCCTCAGACGTTTGTTTCCTTGGCAACGTGGGGAGTGCATGTGTGGAGAGGGAGGTATAAAAACACACACAGCCCTTCTCTGGGTCTTAGTCTTGAGTGAACACTTTCACTGTCCGAGGGGAGATTTGGAGAACTTGTATGCTCTCCCAGTCGCTCGGTCATCTTTCCTTTAAGCTCACTCGGAAGCACTTGGCTCAGCGAGCGGGTGTTGCAGAATGATGCGACCCAAAGATTTACGCCAGGGCTCCGGCACCAAGACCTTCCTCGATGCCATGCACGGCGGCAAAGTTCACCTTGCGCGCTTTATCTTGGACGCCTTGGACGGACGGATCATCAACTCAAAGACCGAAAACAGCCGCACCCCGCTCATTTATGCCGTCTGTCTCCAAGAAGCCGGGACGAGAGCCAAATTCGCTCGGCTCCTACTTGAGAAAGGGGCCGATGTCAACTGTCAGGATGAAGAGGGTCGCACAGCCCTGAGTCATGCCTGCGAGTTGGGTCACCTCGACGTGGTCAAGATTCTAGTTCAGTTCAATGCCGATCCAGATATCGCCGATGTGTGGGGGAACAGCGCTCTCATGTATGCCGCCTTTTCTGGGCACAGTCAGGTGCTTGAATTTCTGGTCCGGGCTTTCAAAAGACTTGGGCTGAGACTGGATCGAATGAATAATGCCGGACATACAGCCGTCGAGGTGGCTGACTTCTTTGGACACAACCACTGTGTGCAGATTTTAAACTTGCAGTACAGACGGAGTGTGGGCGCTGATGATTCACTTGATCCAGGAAATGTTGGCGATGGAGAGCTGCCCAACAGACTCCCCAGGCAGGTCTTGGAAAAGTTCTCCAAACAGGTGAGCGGCAAAGAAGACCAACTACCGGGGCTGTTTCAGAAGCAGACGAAGATCGGGGACGGCAACGGACTGTGGAACCGCTTCGCATGTCCCAGGAACCAGAGCCGTGAACAGAACCATCGGCACAAGTGTTTCCCGCCACCTCAGAAAGGCCAAACCGATGGAGATGAGAATCTTTTCTTCACGGCCACACAACTCCAAAACTGCCAGCTTCGCAATCAGAGAGCGACGAGGACGCTCAACACGCCGCCCGAGGCAAACGCAAAAGAAGTCGAAGAAGAAACCGGACCTCAAAAGAGAGCACTGCAAAGGTTTCCTCCCTGCGGGAAAGCAAAATCGTTCAACCTGGAGCTTTTGAGCATCAGAAAGCAGTCCTACCAGGGAGACGTGCACGACTCCAACTTGTCAGCCAGCAAATTCAAGAGAGCCTCGCTTCAGGATGACCAATGTCTCCTGGACAAGATGGAATGTCAGGGGAACTCCCGGGTCCTGACAAATCATTCAGAAAAAGCAGCCGCGGTTCCAAAAGCTCCTTCGGGCATCAAGACTCAGATGGTCAAAGCCCTTGAGGAGAAGACAAAGACGACAGACGAGCTGCAGAAGAAGGGAAGTTTTGCCCACAGCGGCAGACACAACAAAATGATGTTCAGCCGAGGGGAGACGGAGGCGGGCAAGATGCCCGGCCGCGGCCCGGGGTTGATGGGCCTTGGAACCAGACTGCTCCGTCGATTCACCGCACCTGAGTTCATGAGGATGGTCATCGACTGTTCCTCGGGCTCGTCAAACGGCAGAGGACGAATGTCGCGCTCCGAGACCTTCCCACTCTCCCACACGCACCAGCAGGTCAACAGTCAGCCGAGCGTGGATAGCATCAGCGGAGTCAAATGTGAGTTTGAAAGCGCCTCGTCTCAGTCGGCCCTCGATTAGGACCACGGAAAGGAGTTCGGACCATGCAAATGACAAGTGGTCTGACTTTCAAAGCGCTTACAGTGCGGCGTGGTTGCTTGCCGATGAAGTCTGTGTTCGACAAATCGATAATACTCACATGCTGATGTCTTGTTTTTTTTTTTGGGGAGGTGGGGAGGGGCGGAGTTGATTTATATGTACAATCACCGGCGAAAAATGCTCACTTTGACATTATCAGGGAATTTGTGATTTTTCTTTTGGTTATGATGCTCTCTTTAACTCATTCACTCCCAAAGACGTTTTTAAACGTCTTTTCAGACTTGGTCTAGAATTGGCTGGTGCTGAATTGGTTACAGAAGTTATCAGAAACACCCACCCAGGTATCTACAAAGCTGTGTGCTTGTACACCACTGCAACTATTTTTTTTTTTTTAAATATATTAACCCTTTCAGGGACAGCAGTTACTACAGTGAACAGCGTATCATGCTATCAGGTTATAGGGTGCATGAAAGGGTTAATACCTCAGTTAGCATTTGCAAGTATACCTAATGTTCTGGTCGGTAGTTTATGAATTTTCACGGAAGGATGACGACTATAATATGCCGGTGATTTATATTGTAAAAATAAAAGTATTTGATATCGTTTCTGCATTTATAAAGGACTCTGGATTTTTGCCTCGTTGTATTCAGTGACAACGTGCTGTATGATTCACGCTGAATAAACACCAGCCCTTTCAACCACCTCGTCATACCGTGTCGCGTGAGTGAGCGATGAATCACTGATATTTCCATACGCGTCATTTATTTGGGTTTGTACGAAAAAGAAAATCGAGCATAATTCTCTGTTTCATCAATGGTCCACACACATAGAAATACATGAGTCAAAGACCGGTGTTATGTGCAAAATGTTTCTCAGCAGGTGGACGTCTCGCAGCATCACATGCCAAGCGTGTGTGCTTCTACTAGAAAAATCAAACATCTTGAGGAACAACACACAAGTCGCGTTTCCAAGTCTATCACAATACAAATGGGCTTGTTTGTTCTCTGAGAAGCCCTCACCCGTACATCCGTGTGTTTGCAAAACACACGTGCGTGCGCACACTGGTATCCACACACATCGCTATACACTCACATTTCTGTCAAGAAAGTAGAATGACTTGAATATATTTTGCCGTGGTCGATAAACAGTCATAAGGACCTATCAGTATTTTATGTACAGGATGTTTAGGTCCATAGTTGGCAATGGAAACCTATTTGTAACTTCATATCATACAAACAACCCACAAAACACCTGTCGCAACTAAAGAATACGTGTGTCAAAGAGGAGATTTTCCAGTGAGTCCACAATAGCAGCATGGCTTTCATCTAACCACTTGTTATGCTAATAACAGAGGATGCCCTTTCACGTCCTCGTTTGGTACATATTCAAGCTTTCACTTCTGGCCAGGTGTGCCTCCGCTTGGCCATGCGAAGAGTCTCCGGTCATTATTTTCTCCCACTCGGAGCACAACCGTGTGACTGTGCAGAGGTAAGATCCAACGGGTTGCAAAACAGCTCTTACAGCATTACTCCACTGTAAATGATGCCCGCTATAAAAATATAAAGAGTTGATCTTTTGCAGTAGCATCTGACATATAGTTACGTGTAATATCGATTTGATATGCACCATCTTGTGTGTGTTGAAGCCCACAGAATGTCACAGGAAACCACTCATTGTTGTGACTGAGTAAAGAGACGAGTGATTGCATGCTGCCTTGAACTCACTCCTAAAGTGCTTCTGACATGCCCAAAAGACCATGCGGTGTCTTGCAACCCAACTCGCCTTTCCTCGCCGTTGTCGCTCACGTGGCGACATGCTGTCTTGATCTGCGTCGATGCGGCCCGTTAGTTTGGGTTGGGCGAGGAATTGAAGCGCTGCGCTTTGGTCCTCACAAGAGACACGGTTGGACTTAAGTAAGGGGTTGGGAACCCGGGAGCACCGGCGGGTCATCAGCAGCGGGACATGCGCTTGCGGTACTGCTCCACCAGGGGGACCAGGCACTGAGGTGAGCCGCTCTGCAGCAGGAAGGGGTGCTCCAGAAGGTCTGTGGCACTGGCCCGCTCCAGGGGGTCCCGAGTCAACATACGGTCCAGAAAGTCCTTAAGAACTGGGGACACCTAGATCAGAGGGTGACAACGGAGAGCACATTCTTGGTTTCTGTGATTGCGGTGAGATATAGTCTACTTGTTTCGTCTCCTTTTTTCTCCCCTCAAAGTCTCGATAAGAGAATCAATAAAGAATTGAATCGTTAAATCGATGCAGACCAAATTCCATAGGGATGTAAACCTACATACCTGGCTGACATTTCGCACGGTCGGAGCTGGCTCATCTCTCAGTCTCTTCATAGCTGCCACGGGGGTTTCACTAAAGTACGGTGGCTCTCCATCCACCATCTCCACCACCATGACACCCATGGACCAGACATCCACCTGGTGCAATACACACGCACACGCACACACGCAGAGCACATCTTGTAAATGATGGCTATGCAACAGCCATGTCTTTTGGCACGAGAGGTGCGCCTCCTCACCTCAGTGCCATATGGCGATTTGGAAATGACTTCTGGAGCCATCCAATAAGGAGTCCCCACCAGAGACTTCCTCTTGGGGATGTCCTTACTGATCTGAGCACAGAAGCCAAAGTCTGATAGTTTGACCTAAAGAGGAGGGGACAATGGGAACACTCAGAAAAACCGAAATGACATTCGAGAGAGCAATAAGATGGCATACTCTTCCGTCTAATGTGAGTAGTATTGAGTCACTCTTGATGTCTCTATGAATGACTCCCTGCGAGTGGAGGTAGGCCAGGGCTTGCAGAACGGCTTCACACACTGTGGCAATCTGCTCTTCACTCAGCCTCGTGGAAGGCGGGAGGAAGATAGGAGGACAACGGAAAGAGAGAGAGAGAGAGAGAGAGAGAGAGCAGACATTAGCATTTTATCATTTGGCAGGCACGTAACTGTTATGAGTAGTACCAAATTAACAGCTCGAAAAGTTGAAAATGATGAATCACCGCGCATTAAAGAAAGAAAATGAATGAGAGCAAAGGTTTCGCTCAACTGCCACGCTAAATAAAAAACGACCGCAAACGTTCAGTCAAACATCCACTGTAGAATGTGACTTGGATCGCGAATTGATAAGGCATGCCAGGACACGAACTGCTGTATTATTCCTGCATGCATAGTTTTGGCCAAATAATGCAACATTATTGGTGTTAAATACACCGTATACCGTTACACAATAACATCCAAGAACAAATACTGCACAAAATACAATTAAGGATTTCAAACCAGGATGTCATCTTATCTCGGGTGTATGAAATTTCACTAATGTGTCACTTTCCATATTTCCTAATCCGGTTTATTGTTTTGTTTCCATGCAGGCTGTGCAAGGAGACTTGAATGACAACCTTCGTGTGTCTTTGTGGAGCCGAAAGCAAAGCGCAACCGCTAGTTGATGACACACTGCCTCCTTGTGGTAGAGCATGTATTTAACATACTCAATTTTGCTGAGAACCAAATGAAATCCTACCGGGTTTCAGCCACAATGTTGGTTAGTGCTCCACCTTGCAGATACTCCATGATCACCCACAGTTCTTCCTCCACAAGTGCCGATTTATACATCTCCACGACATTTCTGTGCTGATAGTCTCTCATGATCACCACCTTTGGATCACAATGGATAATAGTGTAGTACAGTACTGGCGTTGCCAACAACATCAGAAAAAAAATGCACTGTCCGTCTAAATCAAAAGATTTTAAAAAAGGAGATATTTAATGATCAAAATATTCCTCCAGAGCGTAATCTAATTAATAGGGCTGAATGACTTGATCCCCAGTGATAATTTTTTTGAACTAGAAAACGACTGACGATAATTAATCACAGGTCCATGGGTCATTCGGTACCGGGCCGCACAGAAAGGACAAGGAATTTACATAATATCCGTTTTATTTATTTCAGAATCTCAAAGATGTTTTATTTTGAAAAATTACCGGATTCTCTGTTACATCCGTCTACAGTGTGTCATTCTTGACGCAGATCAGGACGCGCTTCTCGGTCACATGATAGGCTAACGCTAAAATGAAACCCAGTAGCTAGCAGATTGAGTAAAAAAACAAACGTCTTTAGAAAGTTTTTTTAGGAAGAGGAAAAGGCCCAACCAAGAGATAGAAGAGGAGTGTACGACTTTCAAGGAAAAGAAGACTACATTTACTAGACAGTATCAGGAGTCCTACTTAAAAGACGGATTTATCACAACGGGAGATTCCCACGCACCAAGCCCGCTCTGCATAATAAGCGATGATGGTGAGTCGTATTTTTCATGCACTTTGTATTTGCGGTGTATCTTCTTTTGAAGGCACGTTACAATAGTGACCATAGAGTGTTGTGGCCATATAGGACAGGAAGGTACGTTACAATAGTGACCAGTGTTGTGGCCATATAGGACAGTCCTCGTGTCATCATTCGTGTTTATTATTATGTTTCAAAAATACTACAGTTTTCATGCGAGTCATATCATATGATTTTGTTGTATTTATTCGTCACACCTTAAAGGCCGGTCTCTGAAAATATTGTCTGACATTAAACCGGTCCGTGGGGCAAAAAAATGTTGGGGACCCCTGCCTTAAAATATATTAGAATGTCAAATGGCCGATGGGTCTCAATGTGACGTGTTTAATGAGATGGAAAATATCATGCTAAAATATCATGCTGCACTTAGTAGTTCATAATCTAAAGGTTGTTTGATTGATTCTAAAACATTTGAAGCCAATCCAATCAATGCGTTAGCGAGTGTGTACATGGTACCTCGTTGAAGAGCAACTCCCTCCTCTGCTGCCTACGCAGGTCCATCATCTTCACCGCCACTTGCCGACCACTGTGCTTCTCCGTGGCAATACACACCACTCCAGTTGAACCCTCCCCGATCTTCACAAAGTTCTCCAGGTAAGACCTTGGATCACCTTTATCCACCACCATCTGCAGGGCGGCCTTGAACTGTTCATGGGTCACCTTTGGTGGGTCTGGCGGTGGTCGGGGCGAAGGGTGAGGGGGTCTGAAGGCGGGTGAGCATGTACCGGGGGGACTTGTGGCAAGAGAGCCTGTAGGGGAGGGTCGAGGTTGGGATGGGCTATCCTGTCGGGGGTAAGGAGGATTGGGGCATCCAGAGTGCCTAAGAAAGGGGTCTGGTCCATTGGGCCTTAGTCCCATATTGGGGGACAGCCCTAAAGTGTAGCTCGCTGAGGATCGCACAGTCCGCTGAGGTCTGACGCCGCTCGCAAGAGGACTGCTGGTGCCGGTGGGCAGGAAGCCAGAGTGGTACCTCACTGCTGAATCTGTCTGCATAGGAGAAGACAAAGTGAGTGATGTTAAATGGGAATCGGGTGCCTCTGTGTCACTCTGTATCGAATTTACCCCATATGAACCATGCTGGGACATTTGCAATGAAGCCAAATACCCCTCCAGGGATCTTGCCAAGCATATAATCTTTCACTATTGACCTACCTTTCATCTCGAACTGTATTTCCATTGAACTGTAAACCCACTTAATGGAAAGCAAATCGGCACACAACACTGTTGTTTGAGTGGAAGCTCCACAACCTAAGTATGAACAGGATCCCTGAAGAACATTAAATTATGTGCATGCACTGAAAAATGTTTTTCTGTAATTAACTCGATTTTATTTCGTCGAGTGCTTCCACCAAATAAAATAATCTGGATCCTGATTATCCCTGATTTACAGTCTTCGATGCACGTATCAGTTCAATCAATCAATCTATCAATGTATGTTTTACGGGAGCAAAATTTAAAAAAAAAATTAAACGTGGCCTTTCAACCGTGAGGCAGATGTTGGGCATCGTAGGTTCTCCTGTACTATGTCGAGAGGTTTGTAAATCATGTGTAATATGGTTTAAATCAAGTACTGCAATGTCAGGCTTACTTTCAGGTCATAGGAGGAGAAAGGCCTCCCCGGGCTGTTCTGGGGATGCATGTACATCGGTACACTGGGCCGGAGCTCTGTTGGGATGACACTCTGATCTTGCTGCTGCTGCAGACTCATAGCCGGGCTATAAAAACATGCAACTGGTATTTGATTCGGTGGCATTCCTCTGGGTAGCTGAAAGTCTCTCTTCCATAAGACTCTTTCCTGAGGGCTGCCCGCATCACCCCCCGTGTAATTCCCATGACTCGGCATTGGAATGTTCTGGTTCTGGCGTGCTTGAGACGGTCCCTCCAGCGAACCGCCGCCAACCTCATAGGTGGATGTGGCTTTTGGTAAAATCCCATTGGGCTGCAAAGTGATGCTCTTCTTCATGCCTAAGTAGGGAGTGTTGGACTCACTGTGGATGGTTCTCGCTTTGTCCCTCCAATGATCCTGAGCAGCGTCCTCTTCATCTTCGTCATCTTGAATCAAGCCTTCGTATTGGTAGGGATCTCCCTCGTTCACCTCTCCCAGCCTTCCCAAAGACTGGGCCCTCTTCCTGGCTGAGGGGCTGCTCTTCCGTAAAGAATTGGAGCTGGTCACAGACAGCCGGCTCATGTCGTTGATCATGGCTGTGATGTAGTCTCCATGACCGATCATGCTCCCACGCACAATGGTCTGAAATAGAAAAAGACATTCGAGTCGAGTATGGTTTGATACTGAAAAGAATAATCAGGGTTACATAATCACTGTTCAAAGCCAAGTTAAATTTAGATTCCGGAATCTGTCAAGGACATCATTGTCAAGAATACTTTGTAAATCCCTTCGTGGTTTTTTTGACAATGCTCTTAAAAAGATAGCGGGTGAGCAAATGGTGCACATTACATTACACAGGAAGAGGACTTTGATGTTATTCGGCGAGCAAAAGGCATGTTGAGGCAAAGGACCCAAGCTTGCCTCGACAAGGAATGAGACGAGCGTAAAATATTTTGCCATCGCAACGCTAACCCTAAGCTTGTGGTATCTGATTAGTCACGTTGAGGGTAGAGTCATGCTCAGTTCATGCCAGGCAAAAGCCTCTTTTGTGGATCAGACTGTGCAAATCACGTGGGAGGGAGATCGAATGACAATTTACCTAGCACCTCCGAGAAAGATGAGCTCATCACCTTGCCAGGAATTACATTTCAGAAGAGAGGCGGAATACAATAGAAACAGAAGCACAGCACAAAAGCAATAATTATGGCAGCACACGTGCAAAAAAAGCCCCCGGGACCGTGCAGGGTGTAATTCTGGCAGGTGAGGGATACATGGACCGGCATAACCAGGTAGCAGGATAAAGTACTGGGACATCTGTACCGAATATGGACTGCAGGTCCCCGAATCAAGATGGCAGACACCGCCGTGGGTAGTTGAGACCAACCAGACCAAGAGCGCGTGAGACTTCAAGATACAGACTGACAAAATGGTGAGAGCCAACCAGCTTGATATCGCGGTGGCGGATCAACGTCAGAAAATAGCAGCCGTGCCCCATGTAGCAATCCTGGACGATGGCAACATCTGGGACAACAAAACCCAGAGAAATACCAAGGAAAGAAAGAAAATACATGAAATAATGATCGGTGGATTGGTGAGCAGGAAATCCCAAGATGCGTGGATGGCTCCAGCAGATGCCAAGAAACACCTCCGACATCTCCGTCCAGAAGGGGGCAATAACGGCTACAGCTAACTTCCTCATCCGGCGTACCTCATGCAAGCTTTGCATGTTTTGCTCTTTTGTTGTTTTTGTGAAACTTTGTCCAAAAGATCGAGAGGACTTCACAAAGAGTGAAGAGAAAGAAGATTGTGGCAAAAGAAGAAGTTCAGTGAAATAAGCGGACAAAGCTGCGTTGACACTTAGAAGCAAAGATGAGTTTGGGTGTTTTGTTGATTTTTCCAGTGCTTCGTGTCTTTTTACACTTGAAGTGACGATCAAGAATGCAAGATGATCACTTAATTCATTGGCTGTCCAGTTTCAAAAGAGGGGAACATTTCCAACCCTCCTTTTTTTTTTTTTTTTTTTTAATTTTCATGATGGCAAGGTGTTTCTAAAATACAAAGAAATCACCGGGCCCTGTTACAAACTGTATACCACCCTAGACATGCCCCTGCATTTTCACTTTTTCGCATCAGAAGGTTTGCTAGCTGTTAATGAGCCTTAATTTGGCATGACTCTCATTATGTAAAGTGCCAATTACAAAAAAAAAAAAGTACTTTTTGTTTGTCATCCACTAAATGCTCTGGTAAGGAAAGGAGTTGTTTCTACGCTGGCCTTTCCATGACTTTTTTTGTTTTTTTTAATGACCGCTGCTTTACACCTGCTAGGTGACACATCAACTGTTATGAATTGCCTATATGGAGCAATGAATTGTGTTGGCCTTTTCAAGGTTCAACATTTTACAGTCACTGTACACAGCAGGGTCATTAGCCCGACAGACAAGGGAGCAAAAACATCGGTAAGGGAGCAGGGCTTCCATTTTATCATCATTTTCGGAGACAGCCGTAACTCGCGGTAGCACTCAGCAACACTTGCACAATATCAATACTGAAAGCAGGAGGAGTGACATACGGTTCAGGATTAAATGTTTGCAAATGATTGTGACACAAAGCCAGTCGTTGAATGAGTCACAATTTCAAGACAAGGACAGAGTGGAAGGGGGGGTGCGTACCTTCTTGGGCCTCAGCTCCACTTCGGTAATCCTGGAAGGGTCCACCATGGGCCTGGGCCTGCGCAGGTTCTCTATCAGGCTTTGCCATTGAGTGGGCAGGCCAACAAAGCAGCCTCGCTTGGCATCGAATGAGGTGTGGACACGGTGTTCAAAATTCTTGGGCGCAGATATCTCGGGCCTCTTCTTTTTCTTCTTTCGAAACATCCTCACGTCCACAAGGGAGGCAGCTTGCTGGTGTTAAAAAAAATCCCTGTAGAGACACGTTTTCATTTGTGACTTGTGAAATCAGTGAGTGAATCACTTCCATATACAGCAGGATCTTAAAGGTAAAGCTACATGACGAACTAAATATATCCTAGCTTTATTTGATCAAATGCGGCAACAATTTAAGTGTCTGAACACGTTACGTGGGATTTTCCCTCGAAGATTGCTGCAAACATTTTGCTCGTATCGTGATGAGGCATAACAGCCATGTTGTTTGAATTCCTTTATTTACAGTGGTCAGTGTGACTCGTGGGGGCAAGAAATACCAAACTGATTTCATTTCCATTGAACTTTATAGAATTGGTGCACATAGGCCAAGAATTCATCTGTTTTTATTGGTGAGAGTTTAGATAAAGGTGCAGATATATGAATTTATTTGGAGTCACGAGCAATAAAGTGACTTGTGTCAACAGCACGTTTGTCATGCTTCACGTAACAGGAAGGCGCTCCATGTTTGATTGTCCATTTTCATAAATGGCCTTTTTTTTTCATCTATCCTATGACATTGACATTCTACTTACGATATATTCAAAAACAGCAGTTGAAATGGGCTTTTTTAAAAAATATATATTATTTATTTTAATATATAATAATATATAATATTATTATTATTATCATTATTATTACTATTATTACTATTTTTATATTATTTTATATTATATTATTATTATTATTATGGCCAAGGCTTGAGTTATGAGTTTGATTTGTCTAGTGGCATGCTCATAACTCAAAACATTCATATTTCAAATTGTCTTTTTTTCCACCAAAATGAATGGAAATTGCATTCATCCAACCAAAACACCTACAAAACATTTTGTCACGCATTTGAAATCAGAAAGTAGCACTCTAGCGCAAGCCCCAGTATTGTACTTCGCAAAAGCATACATTGATAACATAATTAAATCGAACGTTAAGATGAACAGCACCGTTGCTTGCAGCGTTATAACACCACATCAATATCACTCGTTAGCCCATCTATGGAGTTTTGCATTGCACGTGGACTTTCAGCTTCTTTTTTGCAGAATATTTCACTATGCGCCCAAGTGCTGCTTGTTGCAAAAGGAGATGAGTCAATTGCCACCACCGAGCGCTCATATCTCAAATTTCTGCTCACAGATCAAAGCAAAAAAACAAACAAAAAATAAATCAGCTGAGCGACTGTTAAATTAGCTCACCCCTAAATCGAGGTATGACTAATCAGCACCTGGATTCTCACTTGAAAATGTATGGAAACATCTGCAGAGGACACTTACATGAAAATAAATACATAAATGGTTCGGGTTGATTCGTCGAAACACGCAGATGGGAAAGAGCATGCAAGCAAATGAATACATATACAAACCTGACTTCCTTGGCAGAAATAATGAAGTCACTCATTCACCCAAAACTATATTAACCCTTTCACGCACCAGTAATGATAACCTGCAAGCTGATAAGATGGTAAGCTTGTCCACTGTAGTAACCGCTGTCCCTGAAAGGGTTCAAATAACTCTAATTATGACATGTAAGTGTAAGCACGAGTGTCTACTGCGTCATCGGCCGCACTGACTTCTCCAACTTTGCGACAATGTTGCGGCTGTTTTCGTTCAAAGAGAGGCTCCAAGGAGAATGGATGCATTCGGAAGCAGATGTGTAATGAAGGATGTGTGGTCAATTAAGGCTTATTCATTCTCTGTGCCCTTTTGCTGATGAGCGTGTCGCTGGGCTGGCATGCGCCCGCAGGCTTTCAGTGCATTAGCATTGAAACGAAACGCAGACAAGACACACACACTCACACTCACACAAACATTCTATGGCACATTGCACGTGGACTTTCAGCTTCTTTTTTGCAGAATATTTCACTATGCGCCCAAGTGCTGCTTGTTGCAAAAGGAGATGAGTCAATTGCCACCACCGAGCGCTCATATCTCAAATTTCTGCTCACAGATCAAAGCAAAAAAACAAACAAAAAATAAATCAGCTGAGCGACTGTTAAATTAGCTCACCCCTAAATCGAGGTATGACTAATCAGCACCTGGATTCTCACTTGAAAATGTATGGAAACATCTGCAGAGGACACTTACATGAAAATAAATACATAAATGGTTCGGGTTGATTCGTCGAAACACGCAGATGGGAAAGAGCATGCAAGCAAATGAATACATATACAAACCTGACTTCCTTGGCAGAAATAATGAAGTCACTCATTCACCCAAAACTATATTAACCCTTTCACGCACCAGTAATGATAACCTGCAAGCTGATAAGATGGTAAGCTTGTCCACTGTAGTAACCGCTGTCCCTGAAAGGGTTCAAATAACTCTAATTATGACATGTAAGTGTAAGCACGAGTGTCTACTGCGTCATCGGCCGCACTGACTTCTCCAACTTTGCGACAATGTTGCGGCTGTTTTCGTTCAAAGAGAGGCTCCAAGGAGAATGGATGCATTCGGAAGCAGATGTGTAATGAAGGATGTGTGGTCAATTAAGGCTTATTCATTCTCTGTGCCCTTTTGCTGATGAGCGTGTCGCTGGGCTGGCATGCGCCCGCAGGCTTTCAGTGCATTAGCATTGAAACGAAACGCAGACAAGACACACACACTCACACTCACACAAACATTCTATGGCAGGATATCCTTCATAAACCCATTATAGCCCTTTAATATTCAGCCCTGATTAATGCCGCATGTGTCCACGATTGCATTTAATCCTTGAATACACAACCCTGTGTTTGGTGAGCACGTAACCTTGGGCTTCCTGTGTACCGTAGTCCCTTTTTATTTCATCTTATCATTATTTCAGTTTTCAACTATTTCATCTCATGGGGAATGGAGAGCGCCCTGTCAAAGGCCAACCAGGCACCCGGGCTCAAGATCCAATCTCCCGTCATGCACTTTGAGAGGAGTGGCAGTTGAGGAAATGAGTTTTGCTGTCGTCCTCCACTCGGTGCTCGGCAGGCAATCACGTCGGGCCGCCTCACCTCTCGCCACCTCCGCCCTCGGACCAGCATGCTTTTAATCGGCTTCAACGGCGCCCGTTGTGACGCCGCTCAGCGCTCACCCTGCCCGCCGCAGCGGGGTAAAACATGACTCACTGGTCATATCAACTCGGGCCTGCTTGTGGGGGGGGGATTATAGCAGGATGAGGGGCTGGTTGGGGGTTGGGACGCTCAGCGTGAAGGGAAGTGTCACCCTCCGAGGATGATTTAGTCACGAGGCTAATATGCTAAGTGATGCATAAGTGTACTGTATGGGTGTTTGCTCTTCCGATGTACACAGTGTGGTGCGGCGAAGGACGATGACAGGGACATTATGGTGCGAAGGCTGTCAAGAGGTTCTGGCGTGGGAATTGGAGCCAAGTTAGACCTTGATGGTAAATGGCGGTGGGGAGCAGTTGAGCCAGCAACGGCTTCTCTGAATCACTTCATCACTTAAACACTATTAGAAATACTGACCAACATTTCCAACCTAAATTATAATTCTATTTGTGCCAGGTAAATTGAGGATAAACTGTACTTGAGCACAAAATACATCATGCTCAAGTATTCTAATCACATTTTACAACCACTTTTAAATGCAAAGAACCGGTCGAGTCATCAAAATGTAATCGGGATTTCGATTTTGGCTTCTCACAAACACATTATGCTGTTGCAATCATAAAACACGTGTTAGCTTTTGTTCTTTTTTTTCAGTGTTCTGTTCTTTTCTATCATACAAGTACTGGAAGATAATATCGCTCAGATTGGTTGACCTGTGTAAGAATTCCGTGCTACGCTCAAACGTAGTTGTCACATCAATGCAATTGCTCCGCTGCGCCATTTCTTGATAACCGCCAGCGGTAACAATAGAAATGAAGAAAGACTCCAAATATTCCACACTGTCAAGGACGTCGTAAAGCAGTGGTGTAAAATGATATGATGGCGCATATCATATTATAATGGGACTGGTTGCCGAATAAGTCAAACGTGTAAAAGGGATGATATTTTAAAGTATGTGTTTTTTTCCATGCAGTCACAAGAATGCACTCCAAAAAGCCAAATAAAAAGCAAAAAGTGGCCTCACAGTGCATGCCGAAATCTTACGTGAACTCATGCTTGGCAGCAATTAGAAGTGAGATTTTTTTTTTTTTGTCCACTTTTGGTCCAATTCCAAATTGTCCCACCGTAAGAGCGCATTTATGAGATCTACTTTTCTGTTTTTCTAGAGAGCCTTTTGACCACCGCCCTGAGAAAAGAAGCGACAAAACACAAGATTGCCATCGCCTTTACAGTTATGCTAGAACCGTATCTGCTTGAATAGCTGCTCAACATGCAGATGTTGACACTGCCTGAGCCAATATTGACAGATAATGCCCATGTATCCTTTTACAAGCAGATCGATCAATATTTACTCATGGGTGAAATGCAAACGGTTACAATCCCACTATGTCAGCAATAGCCGGATGATAGCAACACAAATAGGGACAACTGCATTGTCGAGTACTTTACCACTTGACATAAAAGTATGAAACACATCCTTGTATTCATTATTCATTCCAGACCACAGTCCTCTCCCGAAAGGGAATATAAATGAACCGCTATGATATTCCAAGCAAGGAGAAACACACACACACACACACACACACACACACACACACACACACACACACACACACACACACACACTGTACACGTATACACTTTGTTGATTCGTGGCCATGGAGGAAAAAATATTTAAAAAGTTGCTGCCAATTATCGATTTACAAGCTTCAACCTACTGTACATCTCACTGGCCTAACATTGACCCAGTTGAATGCGGCAAGCTTATGGAGTCTTGATAACAACCAACTGTTTATTTTGAGCGGTCGATATGCGCAATGCAAACTTATGCTTCCCGGCCACGTCGCCGCCCCAAAACTGTTGGGACTTGACCTTCTGCCTCAGTGGCTTATCTTGGATCTATCAAAGTGCTGAGGCAAAACTCAGACAGCTACTGCCTGGGCGGATGAGGTCATGCTGGAATTGTGCTTCA